GCCCTCTCCTTATATTCTTTCCTCCCCATCTCCCTTTCTTCTTTCCTTTAATTCTTAAAACCACTGGAATTGATCATTAATAATGTAAAATAAGCAGTATATCTTGCATAGATTAGAGCATTTATGTATATCTCTTAATTTTTCTTTCTCCAAATTATAGATTTTAAAAATTTCAATTTAGTAATAATGGAATGGTCTATTTTTTCTCCCTAAGAAGTGCTCATCTCTCTTAACCCCACTACTAATGTCCCCATGGAAGCTAAGATAGCCCTGAAATGGGAGGGTTCTGGGATGGGCTTGTCTGTGATGAGGGCAATGACCCTTAGGGGTGAGGAGGTGCCACCTTTGAGTACTGGCATTCTCTGAGTGCAAAGCAGGTCAGAGATGAAAAAATACCTCAGAGAACTGGAAAAGGGATTATCGTGGAAACGCCTTACAGTTTCTTAAAAATCCTTCAGTTGACAAAATGCCTGTCATGTAATCATGAGGACCTGAGTTCTGATTCCTGGCACCCATGTAAGAAGCCAGGTGTGGATACTAGAACTGGAGTGAGCAGAGCCAGGTGGGTCTTCAGAGCTTCCAGCTAGCTAGTTGAGCCCACTGGGAGTTCTGGGTTCAATGAGAGACACTATCTCAAAACTAAGGTTGAGATCGATAGAGGAGGGCACTTGACATTGATTTCTGACTTCCAGAGGTGTGCTCACATATGTGCACACACAAACATGAGCATACACATACCATATACACATAAACATGCATGCACACAGATACACACACACATACAATGGATCATCTATACAAATACTCCATAGAAAGGGAGTAAAAAAGACTGCATATTTGTTTTACTGTGTTTGTGTTATGTGTGTGTGTGTGTGTGTGTGTGTGTGTGTGTGTGTGTGTACTGAGAAGATACTGGCATTCAGTATTATACAAAATAAATTTAATGTCTCAATATGATGGAACATAAATGGGAAGAAAATAAAATGTGAGGAATATTTTGACTTGAAACAACTTGTAAGAGACAGTGTTTTCATTACTACTCCAACAAGAATCTAGAAGAGGAGCCATTGTCAGCTTCTGCCACCCATTCTTGGAGGGATAAGGTAAGTGGTGGTAACCAGTCCTCCTTTCTTCCTGAAATGGTCCAAGATGATCATCAAAAGTCATTTATACAAAGTCAGGTGGGTTCCTTAACTTACAACCCTGGCCTATCTCTATAGACGCTCTGTCTGTCCTGAGAGCCAGATATTCGCCACTATCCAGGGGACATTTGCACTAAGAGAGAAGATTAACCAATTGTCACACATGGGGCCAGCCAGGACATTGTTCCAGGTTTTGCTTCAATTCTTGTGTGAAAGAAAAAAGTCCCCTGCAACAATGTCATTAATGCGATAAAAAGAAATACCTGTTAATAACTAGATAATTTTAAGAACTTAGGCTCATCCATCTGTTAATCTCAGCTGTGATTAAGGACCTAATACTAGCAGCCATTATTCCTAATGACAAGACCAAGCAGGCTTAACGCACAAGCCGCAGAGGCCACAGTGAGGAGGCGGTGAAGGGTATCAGCAATCTCAGCCCCGATTGAGGAATTGGCCCGTCCTCCACACAACAAAAGTGATACAAAAGAATTACACCCTCACTAAAGTCTATTTCCTCGTATAATCACACAAAATGATTTTTCTTAAATATGATAATAAATCACAGGAAAAAATCAATGTGGCAGGGCCCAACTGCTATGGCCTGATAACGCATCAATCAATATTTAGTATTTAGATTTTAATTAATACACAGCCCTGCAGAGGCTTTTTAGGGGAGAAATATTTTCTCAGATAAAAAATCCGGCACTGTTAGCATGCAAAAGTTGTTGCTCATATCTGTCATTGATCAATCTGCTTGAGTCGTGATTAAAAACCCTTGAAAATATCAGACAAGAGGGAGAAACAGATTGAGCCAAAAAGAGACTGTCGTGGGCTGTTTGCTGGGAGGGAGGGTATAGAATGGCCATAGCCTTCCAGCCCAGTTGCTGGCTCAAGCAGACCCATGGGGGACTTGGTGACTTGTGGAAGCATACAGGGCTCTTTGCTGCTGGCTGGGAACCAGAGGACCATGAATGAACTTCTCTCGTTACGGCTGCCACATTCCCCAGCCTTGTTAATTGTAGTTTGGGATGAAATTCTCCCTCAACAAGAACATGTTTAAAAATAATTTCAATGTTGGGGGGTCTACATTGATTTCAGGAATCATTTTAACTTCTGGCAATTCCCTTGACATAGGAATGGTGGGGGCTATTAAATCTGAAACTATAAATAGATTACTGGGGATTTCCCTCTCCAAACCTCTGAATGGGAGAGCTCTGTTGCCTGTCTTCTGCTCACAGACTGTTTCCTCAGGGTTGGTCAATGGCCAGTACGCCACTCAGCCTCCTACAGTTGTCTGTGAACTGCAAGTTTACAAACAGGCCCACGAGGAAATGGCTACTCTCCTGTTGTCTCCATCCTGACATTTGCCAGGCATTTTATCACATGGGAAACCTTTCCATTTCTATCCTTTTATTCAAACCAATCAGAAATAAGCAGGGAAGGTGGAATGTTTGTGTTTGGAGACTTTGGGAGGAACAGTAAGAGAAAGTGCGGCAAAAGGAAAGTAGACAGGCCTTAGTGTTTCAGCCAGTCCCCTTCCTGGGGTCGCCTCCTCTCTGTTTATTCTCTGGCTGATGTCACTTCTCCCCTGGCATGCAAGCCATGTGTGGCCTCCCTGGAAGTGTTGATTCAGCATGCTTGTCTCCCTAGCCAGCTAATCAAGTCTTCAGGTGACACCAGGTTGGGTCTTGCAGGAAGAGTCAGTTGTCTGTGTCTCCAGGCATCAGGGTGGAGCCTGCTGACCATATGGGTCAGACATTCTCTTTTTCCAGATCTCACAGCTCATAGGGTTTGAATCCAGGGCCAGTAGGAGGACATATCGAAACACTTGGAAAGGATCCTTGTCATGTCCGATGGCTTTGATGTCAAGGGCAAGAGAAAAAGTATTTGGGGAGTTCTATCTTGAAGGGAGGTGCTGAGGAATCTTGGTGTCTGGGGTATCCGAGCACCATGCTATATGTGAAGACATCACTGATCAAGAGTGTGGCTTGTGCTGGGCGTTGGTGGCACACGCCTTTAATCCCAGCACTCGGGAGGCAGAGGCAGGCAGATCTCTGTGAGTTCGAGGCCAGCTTGGTCTCCAGATCGAGTGCCAGGATAGGCTCCAAAGCTACACAGAGAAACCCTGTCTCGAAAAAAAAAAAAAACCCAAAAAAACAAAAAAAGAAAAAGGTATTTATTAGGCAATCAAGGATGCTTTATAACAGGAATAATTTTAAGTGAGCAATGATGATATGGTTTTGTTATAAAGGAGATGTTTTCAACTGAGATTTGCTCTAAGAAGACATGGTGGGGTATAGGAACATTTGTGACATGCGCCTGCCATGTGTGCTGACAACTGTCAAGGTGAGGCGATGGGTATGTGGGCTTCGTTGTTCATCTGTCTATGTTGATGTGGACTTGCAAATCTTCAGAATAAGGTATATGTATCTAAAGCTCCGTGTCACCCACATCGACAGCCATGACATTGCCCAGAGTCTGGTTTACTTTTCCCACTTCTCTGCATGTATATCTGAGTCTGAAAGCAGCCACGTTCGTCATGGTCTAGCATGTCCCTTCCCTCTGCTGTCTCCTTAGTGCAGGGCTTAGTGTCTTTCCAGCTTTCTCCAGCCTGTGGTCTGACCTCGTTGGTACTTTGATCACCCCAAAATTATCTCTGAGAAGATCAAGGCCTAGGGAATGTCCCCTGCCCCCAGAAAGCAAAAGAGCTAGACAAGAGCCCTGCTCTGGTCTCATTCTCCTAGCCCCAGAATGCCTCTAACCCTGAGTGCTACCTGGGCAGACACTCAAAGTCACTAGCCACAGCTACACTTCTTACTATGTATAATACCTAATGCACTAACAGTCTTGCTCAGGTGAGGAGGTTGACACGATCTTGAATTTAGTTCTTTTTGTGTGGATATTTGTATGTGTGTGGGTGTATGTGCTCATACAAGTGTCATTCCTC